TTGTAGCATTCGCAACGATTCTGCACACGAAATTTCGTTCGAAACACAAAATTTGATGCAAACTCTTTGTCCAATATTTTTTTCCATTGTTTTTTTCGCAACGCACTACTGAGGTGAACTGGTTTCAACAGCTGCCGTAAACGAACTGTCTGACAGATCGCGCTATTTTTTGGCATAGTAATTTTCCTTAATTGCTGCCAAACTACATAAACTTAAAATATCGAAAAATATACAGCGCGCGAATTTTAAATGAGAATTTCCGAAAACTTTTCGGTCTTAATGTAAATACTTGCACTTACGTGTTGGCTCATTGGCAACTCTTTTGGAAATATTCCAAATGTGCGATTTTTGAGTTCTTATCCATTGCATATGTAATGTACTAAACATAGAAATTGTTTTTGTATGGTCATATTATGCATTCATTAAAATATGTTTTCAATGTCAGCAATTATGTGCCCACGATTTGTAAGAAATATTAACTAATTTTCACAGGTCCGACAGTGGAAAGTTTTTGCAAAATCCACATGAATTTAGTTTGGTGATAGACTTCATTTTATTTAAAGCCAATGCCTTAAATAATAAATATATATATGTTATAGTAAAGATATACATGCTATGATATGATGAATTTTACTAACATATGATTTTGAATTTTACAATAGTTTCGTAATTGAATGTTTTTTCTCTCCTAAAAATTATATGAACAATCAATTAAGAACTGCATTTTTTTAAAATATATTTAAAGGTATATTATACATTAAAGTATTATTTGTTGTCAGTAAATAAAAACATGCAAATTATATTTACTTATAAAAAAACTATCGCTATAAGCTGTAATATACACAATAATAATCAAAAATAAATTTTAAAAATTTGTTTCTTTAAAAGAATGCCTTAGGATACAGGGTGGTAAACTTTTCATATTCCCACTAAAATTCACCTTTTGGTGTAGTACGTTTAAATGTCGTGGTTGTATAGCATTCATGGATCCAGAAAGAAATTTTAATGATGAGTTCTTTTAACTCAAACTTCAGCTCTAAAATATTTGGACAAATCTATTCTTTTTAAAGATTTGATAATAAAAGTCCCAGCACCTTCAATAAAATTGTGGCTGGTGAATTGGCACGGTTTTACTAGTACGACCAAGATATAAATCAGTAGTTGATGAGAAGGAGCCCAAAAGGTTTTAATCAAACCATTCAAGCAAGGCTGTAGAAGTCACCTACAAAAGTAATAATGTCAATTAACTTTACCTGCCAAAAAAGTATACCACTCCAAAGATTTTATAGATGGTAACTGCTAAATGGTACATTAAAAATTGTTTAAAAATTTTTTAAAATTTCGTGGGAAATAAAAAAAAAGATATTTTTTGCATCACAGTAATGCGCCAGTTAACTTTGCTAAAAAAAGTAGTAACATAAACGCGCTCTCTGGAGTTAAAGAAATTCTTCTAGTCTCATATTCCACGAACATAGAAACTGGTTGTTTCTAAATATAAAAAAGTAGTAGCAGTGTAGGTTAGTGTTTGGCAATATTGTAGAAATAATTAATACAATAAACTACGAATTTCTACAACTAAATAAAATTGATTTTCAGGACTATGTTAAAAACTGGATTTACCAGTTTCAAAAATGTGAGAAACTATTCTGTGGCTAACTAAGTAAACTTTTGTTAGTCTACTAGCATTTTAGCACTCTTTACTATGACATCGTTTCTGATACATAATTTTTCAAGATCTCCCAGTTCTTTGTTCTCCACTTATTTTGAATTTGTGCCACTGTATTGCTGCTGGGGAAGGATTTTTCTTGTGCAACATTTGTTACTGATCTAATCATCCATAAAAGACGTGATCTTTCTCGCTTTCTAATTCCATTCACTTTGCCATCTCAAAGCAATTGTTTTAGAGTTCCCAGTAGTGTTACTTCTTTACATAATTGAGAAAGATATGCATATAAGTCTGGTCTTAACATTTAATTTCTCATGTAAGGAGAAATTGAGTCTACGAGCAGTCCATGGAATTTCTAACACACTTTGATAATCTATTGTATACTCTTTACTAATCAAATCTTTATATATTTACTAATTTACTGATAAACCGATATTTTTGTTAGGTTACCTGTAGCAGGTTTTGCAATCACATTTTGAGGTTTATCTTTTTGACTTTAGTTTCTGATTTCTATGAAAAGGTATAAGTAATTGATTTTATCAACTGTATCGCTATCTGGATCGTTGTCACATTTAGTAGGTCAATTATCACGATTTTCGTTTCGGGTTGGTTGAATTTAATTAGTAATGTCGAGTAACGTACGATTAATTTCCCATCATTTGAGTTAGTTTCTCTATATCCGACTCCATTATCAATGTGTCATCTGCATATTTTAAATTATAATATATTTTTCCTCCTTATATTGTTTAACGGAATATTAATACAGTTAATCGCGGTTCCTCTACTCTCTTTTAATGTTAATTTCAGATGAAGAGTGACATTTTAAAATATAAATGATTTGTTTTTCACAGTAGGTAAATGCTTTTACAAAAATTTCTGGATAACATCACGTGTGTTGTTATTAGTTTCCTTGTTTACTGCCACTTCTTTTGTATAATAATTTTTGAAATGAAATGAAATACTAAACAGCAACAAGTGAACAAAAATTCACGTCATTTTATAAAAATTAAGACACAAATATTCTCATCCTATCTCTTCCATAAATTCTTATAAATTATCGTGACTTAATTTCCTTTTACCTCATCAGTTGGCATCATATATCACAAAGCTTGAAGGGTGTTTTCATAATAGCACATCCATTGAATTACATACATTCCAGCAAAATAATTTTTAATAACAAAGAAATCTTTTGTTATTAATTCACGTCTTATTCCCATTCATTATGAAATTTTGAAATGTTTGCCGTACTTCAATTACTAGGTAAGGTAGGTAAGGTGCCGCTTTATGCAGGCAAGTTTGCGTGTCCTTTGTTCCTACTTGCGTTTAATTTGCAGTTCATTAGCCCGAAAGATATATTGTTTGTTTCCTAACATTTCCACCTATTTAACTTTGAATATGTGTCTCATTCCACTTACTTCGGAATCACAATCAAAATTCTATTACGTGCCTGTACAGCAATTATTTTATAATTAAATTTATTACTATTTTTTTTAAGAATTAATTTAAAAAATTTTCAATCAAGGCGTAATAGTCATACAACTTCAATTATTTGGAATTTGGAAGGATGTTCCTGCTATGACATGTCTTAAGTTAACGGAAAAGTGACTTAAGGTACTTAACAATGAATAAGAGTGGGCAGACAAATTGTCGATGAGAAGATCTGCGTAGTTATCGGAAAAAGGAATGTTTAATTAACACTTGACTGCATTCCATAGCGATTTTGTAATAATGGTTGATTTTATAATAATTTTCAGTTAATGGAATTAGAGAAAAAAAACTTAAATTAGCATTTTCCATTGTTTTTAACTTCCTCTTTGTTTGCTCTCTTACAGTATCAGTTATAAATGAAGCAGAATTTATGTTAATATATTTCATTACAAGTTACAAGTAATTATAAGTTAGTTTTCAGTTCGTCTAGCGAACTAAATTTCCATCATATGTAGGTATGAGAAAACTGCTGATCAAATTACTGTTCTTTAGTAAAAAGAAATGAAAGTACACTAATATTCAAAAGATGTGAACCTTCTCAGAGCTATGTAAATACAACTGTCATTTTTATAACTTAGATATTTCAATATCAGATGAATTACTATGTAAAGGGGCAATGAAACCAAAATATCAAGCTCTGTCCTAGGATAGACAATTGGTAATTGCAAAGTAGGAACTGAAAGAGACTGTCTATCAAGGAATTCAATTCGAGACGCCGATTAATTTTTCAATGAAAAGCGAATATCATTTACAGAAAACAGAATAAATTTATTTTATTAATTAAGCTAAATCCTAATATAAATTAGTTCACATAATCCGTATATTAAATATTAATCGTTTTATCAAAATAATAATAATAATTATCATCAGCGTTTCAGCTCGGGGTGAGCTTTAGCTGCATCAACCAGCTTTTTTCATTATGCTTTGCATGTTGTTTTAGACCTTTAGTTTTTGGTACTCATTTTTCTGATGTCTATCTCTGCTGCGGTCATTATAGCTATGACGTGATATGGAGTACTCGCTATTCTCTGGCATGCTCCTAACGTGTCCAATTCATCTCAAGCGCTGGACCTTGCGAACTATATTTATATATATATATATATATATATTTCTCCATATATATGTATAATTAAGCTCAAAGTTTTAAAAAAAAATTAAAAAAGAAAGTTTTCTTTCCAGTTTCTAATATCTAATTAAGCTTATATAATAGTTATGTCGATAGTTTTCGTCACAATTATAAACATTTAATTCTGTCCCAGAATTCTTACAGACCAACAACTTGAGATTTCTGTCGCAACTTATATTTTAAATTTATCATTAATCTCCGACATTATTTATTACAAGACATATACTTAGATGAGCAGCAGAGTTATATTTGAATAAGCTACATCTCTTTCCGAACAATAACAAAGAAGAGTAAATAAGAAAACGGATGTTTGATTCTATATTCCATGTTAACAGACATGTTTTTTATTCCCAACTCTCAAAGATAGAGTCAATCGGAGTGTAACTTTTCTGGTGGCAATCATAAAAGTATGGGACTATATTTTCTGTTTTTATGACAGTGTATAGAAAGAAATACCACTTGTCTATTTTAAAGAAATGGAGATGAGTTTGGTCCGCATGTTAATACAATAAAGGTATTTTGATCATTGTTTGACATTTTGAAAAAATTTCTGCAAGAATAATATTTTGTCTGGGATAGGCTTTTAACTACTTTTTTGAGCTTTAATTTTTTTATAAAGTTCAATTGATTCTAAATGTAGAAATCTCACATTATGCGACTTAAATGGTAGTAAAAACTAATATTTGTTTTTAAAATTGAAAAATGCAATTTTTAGCTATTCATGCAGCTAGCAGTAATGAGATATTTAATTAAAATGCAATTTTATTATTTTATTTCAAGTGAATATAATAACCAACATTTAAACGAATATCAAAAAAATAATTTTCAGATTTAAATTCCCAATAAAACGCAGCAAACGTTACCTTAACTCCATACACAAACCCATTTAAAATTGTTGATTCGAATATTGAGTATTTTTATCACGTACTTCTGCATATCATCAGGAAAATCGAATTTTGGATGTTTTTAAAAGTCTCTACAAAAGCATATTGAAATAAATAAAAATTTTTCTATCTTTTTGCAATACTTACTAATCGAGGCCAATACGATTTTTGTCAAATATTTGGTGACGTTGTCTAGCACTATGAGCTGCACGACACTTTCCTAGCAAATTATACAGAATTCGTCCAATACCAGACTGTTCCACTTGATCATTAGAATGGCTGTCTTGATTTAAGGGAACCGAAGCTGGCCAGAAGTATGTGCTATCAGCGGACGATGAATGCATAAAAATCTGCTGCGGCTGTAATGCATTGTGAGCGTTTAGTTCTGGAGTGATGTCTAGCTTATCACTGGAATCCATTTTGTTGAACTAAAATTTTATATTTGGAAATAACAATATCTTAAATTTGGTTATAATATTTTATAAAGAAATCCTTTGTATATTACTTTAATATATTTTGACTTATAACTTAAATATCTGACGTACTACGTTTCGAGGAATTTATTTATTTGAATACCTTTTATATAGTTTCACTACTTTCCGTGGAGGAAGTGTATGGGGTATAAAGAATGGAACTGCTATATTATTTGAGAAAATGAAAAATTTCCGATAATTGTAATAAGTAGTTCTTTTATTAGTTAAAACAATAAAACAGGAAAAGGAAAGAGGAATCACAGTTTCTTTTTGACAGTAAATAGAGTGACATGATATAAGGCCAGAGTTGCCAGATAATAAAAAGAAGAACTTGCTTGGTTTTTGCATGGAATATACAAAAATCATTTTCAATGTTTTTATTTTAAAAGTTGTTCTTTGCCACTTTTTTTCTCTCATCCGACTTCATGATTATTCCAATATTACGTTTAATAAATAATTTAATTGGTGTATCAAATTAGTGTAAAGACATAATTTTTACTGCTCTGTCCATTTTTACATATTTAACGGATAAATTAAGTCCTTTCCAATTACCAAGATCAGTTAAAACAATGAAAATATTATAATTATGAAAAACAATATCGTAATGGATGTTGCGTTATGAGACAATATTATAATGCCCAACAGATACATAAACTACAGTAGCGAGAAATGCTAAAAATAAAGCTTAGCAAATGTATTTCTGTGGCAAGGAGGTCACTATTTATATTTTGAGCCTTGCCAACACTGATTGTTTCAGGTGTCATCTGACCTTTTCATACGAAAGTTTGACATTACGCCTTTTCTTTTGTAAACATATCACAAAAGACCATTGCTTATTTTAAAAATTACATATGAAACAACAACACTGTTGACTTATTTAGTTTAACCTTTTTGAAATCGCTAACTAATAAGCAGCTCAAATGGCATGGTTGCCAAAACTAAAAACTCGTCTATTGTGAACGATTTTTGGAAGCACTTACATACGAAATTTCTAAACAACTATCAACGAATGATTTCATTATTTTCTCGTATTTCGTATTGTCATTATTCGTAACAAATACGTTACTTTTTCTATTTATTATTTTACTGTTAAAAAGAAAATGCATATTTCATTCACAATCATGTAAAAGAAAATTCTAATCAATAATTCCAAAAAATAATTATTCATTTTCGAAATTTCAACGTTAAATTTTATTACGTGTTTTTAGCCTAATATGGCGTTTACATTGGCCGAAAATGGCTCATTTTGAATGAGCCATTTGAAAGTGTTTACATTCGTTGTAATTCGTTTGTTCTCATTTCAAACAGCTGATTTTTCAACTTGCTTGTTGATTTGATTTTTGGCCTGTGCCAAAAAAATATTGCATGAAGGTTAAATATGCTTTCAAACCTTACAATATAAACTTAAAACATATTTTTAAACTTCGATTAATTACCTTTTGGGAAGTATAAGTTCTAAAAAGATGTGCATCGCTTTCAAGAAAATACAACCACCAAACATTTGTTTACCTTTTTTTGTAAATATGTCAAAAACAGCTTTCTCAAACTGTCAAAATGCCATGAAAAGCTTTTATTTAGGGTATGTTTAATGGATTCCTTTGCATTTGGAACATATGTGGAATGCATTCGAACGTCTTTCATACAGAATGTGAGAAAATTGCTCATTTTCGCGCTTGAAATTTTATATGCAAGAATGAGCCATTCGCTACTCATTTTCGATTTTTGACCAAAATGAGCCATTTTCGGCCAATGTAAACGCCATATAACAAAAAAACCAATTTGGTCAGAGTTACCCTCGTAAGTTGTACTTATTTTATTTGTTCTTTTGCAAAATGCTTACAAAAGAAAAGGCTTATTATTCAACATTACCCACTTTAGACTTTTTGTCAAAAGAGCGTTATTTGTGTTATTTATAGTAATTTGTAAATTGAGTGTTCGCGAAATAATATAATAACTGCCAGAAAATTTTTGTGCGAGTGTATCGATCAACTTACTTCCACATTTGGTGATGAAGTTCCTTCCTTTGCCACTGCAAAAAGCTGGTACAATGATTTTACGAGTAATAGTGGCCGTAGTTCGCTAACTAACAAAATTAGTGAAGGTTGTCCAAAATCGGTTGTTGTGCCAGAGAACATTGATGTTGTGCAGAAACTGATAATACAAGATCGTCATGCGACATACTGTGATACCTAAATTGAGGGAACTCCAGGCATTAGAAACTATAGCCGTTGGAAAGGTATGTTCTCGTTGTCTTGTTGGATCCCCTATCATTTGACTAAATTTCAAAAAAATGCTCGTATCAATTGGTGCACACAAATGCTCAAGAAATACAATGGCGGTACTTCGAAAGACGTGTATGAGTACAAGATTGTAACGAATCAGGTGACGAGTAATGGATATATGCGTATGAGTCGGAACCTAAACAGCAGTCAACTGTATGGGTGTTTCAAGATGAACCAAATCCAACAAAAGTCAGTACTTCAAAATAAATGGTTGCTTGTTTTTTCGGGAAAACTGGTCATGTGGCAACTATACCATTACAGGAACGTATAACATTTAATTGCAAATAGTATACAACTATTTGTTTACCATAAGTCTTCAGTGAAATACGGAAAACAAACAAACGCCGTCGGATCATTCTCCATCTCCAAGACAATGCGAATACTCGTCTAATAACCTATTATTTGAACTTTCAAAAAATCGAATTGATAGATTAGTCACGCAGCCGTACAGCACTGATTTGGCATTTGGAGGAATGACTTCTTCTTGTTCCCGAACGCCAAGATTAAACAAACATTGCGTGGACAATGGTTTTTGTCGGCGGGAGAAGCCGTTGTTGCATTTTAAAACCTCTCTCCATGATTTGGTGGTGTCTGAAGATTTGAAAAAATGCTTTGACAAATAGTTCGAATGCAGGCAAGTGCTTTAATCATAAAGGAGATTACTTCGAGAAACAATAAAGCAATTTTTAACGTCAAGTTAGTATTTTTTCATTATTAGACTCAAAATATAAACAATGATTTTTGTGACGTTCACGATATTATTCGATCATTAAACGAGAGCGATTGCGGCAGCTTCTTCTGGCCGTACTCATATCATTTAACAGTATATTTTTTAAAAACAATTGTAAATAAAAAGCACTGGTTAGATGGGTACCGCACTTGCTCACTGTTATTCTGTCATTTTATCTGTTAAAGAAACAGAAAATATCAGCCTACATTATAGTGCATTAAGGATGATTTATAATAGAATATTTTGATACGTAACATATCTAACCAGAGTGTAAACAAACAACCTTAAACAATGCATAAATACTATTAAAATTTTCTCTAACTTGAATTGATAAGGATGCGAACGTCACTGCATAACATCGTCGATGTTTATTATACTAGCAAGCAAAGTGATTAGATATCAGGAATCACTAACTTTTTGAGATATGAATATTGCACTATCTTAATTCAAGTTTTATTGCTGTTTCTTACAATAAACTATGCGTTGATTTTGACGATTCAGAGCTGAAATTTAGATAATCAATGTGATTAAGTGCCAGAAAGATGTACATGTGGCTGATTTAGCAACCTAAACTACAACCTGCTCACATTGTGCTTGCAATAAATCTGGTTCAGAATATCGATGGTAAACCATTAAGCCTTATACAGATCAATGTCATTACTGCAGCAGTGGTTACAAGGAACTCTTATGTACTTTTTATGAATAATCTTATGTGTAATCTAATAGATAATACTATATAATGCAACTGTCGATGTGCTTTGTAATGTCATACAATCAATAGAGAAAAGATCCTCATGTGTAGTTCATTCAATATCGAAGTAATTTTTGATATCTGGTGTCCTATTTTCTACCCGAAGTTAAACGACAATGTGTATCCTCTACTATTTGCTACCTCATATCTAAAATTTTGGCCAACGATCGGTGAAAATTGATTGTGTAAATGTTACAATCACAAAAGCAATAACGATCGGATGCAGATAAAGTTTACCTTAAATGCTTCAATATTACTGATGCAGGGACAGCCAGTTGCCTGATGATAATACATGAATAACTGGACACAGAAACACCTCGGGAAACTGTAAAGCATAAGAAGTTGCCAAAACAGACATACTGCTCTTTAATATTCACTTTTCGGATATTGATGTTCATTTTGGAATAGCTAAATTAATGATTATATGTTAATACGTATGTTTAGCAATGAAAGAAAATGGTCAAATTAAACAAATTCGCAGAAATTATTTGCTTCAACTTAAGCAGAAAGCTATAAATAGTTTACTCCTTTAAGGGTTTTTATGGGATTGTGGGTCTGCGAATGTAGAGGAAACTTTACTACACTTTATGTATCGAAATGTCCATCATTGGTTAGGATAAGATTTAAATTTTTTTATAACTTTTCTAACTACTTTGAAAGAGTTGTCATCATTTAAAATTACTGTTCGTGACTAGATGCTTCGAAATTCTATTAAAGCTAATCCTTGAGAGCAGTGTTATATCCGTGATATTTTAAAAAGGCAGTAATTGGTTCCAATGAGTTTTGGTGCACTGTTTTGTTCTTCAATATAATCTTATTGGTATTAAATAGTAAGAATAAAATAATTAAAAAAATTGTGTCTCTTCACCCACTCATTGATTTGCTCTCATTTGTATGTAAAGAAGTTGATTTCATTTTAGGCATAAATATATCTTTGATTGTCTTTTCTTGAACCTTAAAGCAAAAATATTTTGTTTTTTGACATATAATTAATGTAGATATTAGTTCTACTTATAGTAATTCTTTTTTTTTTTTGCAATGAAACTAAAAACATATTAAAATTCATAAATAAACTGTTTTATTTATTTATATTCGAAATTATTTTTATATACATTATTGGCATATACATATTATTATATAACACATATAGGAATATATATGATTATATATATTAGTTATACACGTTATTTAA